CAGCGTGTGGGAGTAATGACACATCAATCTTAAAATGAGTAAACACATATCTATATTAGTATATATATATATATATATATATATATATAATTATTGCTTAATTCTTGACCTAAGAATTTTGCAAGTGTGAGCTTTAGTGAGATTCACTCTTTTTTCCCTAGCAAACCCTCTCAGAGTCAGAGTGGGTTTAGCTTATAAACATATCATACATATCGTATTTGTATAAGGGTCGTTCTTTAATGTCCTGTGGCCTTAGAATAGTTTGGGACTGCTCTCAGTCGAGGTTTTCACTTAAGATATAAGACTAAAATCTTTCTTCTTTTGAAAATAAAAGTTTCCACGCGGCAATAGGTCCACTGGACTTTTATTCACCAGTCTTAAATTTTCCACGTTTGCACGATTAAAATTATTCTGATTTTAGATCATGCTTTTCACATCTTTATTTTCCTTTTAGGTTTGTGTTTTATGCTACCGCTTTAATTGTCGAATATGTCATATTGGATAAAGCACATTTTTTTTTATTTATTTTTTATATTTTTAATTTAGTCCTGCAATTGCCAACCAAAGACCAAAGAAGACTTCAAACTTTTGCGTAGGCTTTAGGCGAAGTCTTAATACTCTTGTAGTCGATATTATAATCTATTCCCTCACGTCTGAGTCTGACCCTCTCTTTTTCGATTGCACGTTCGGTGTGTCCGAAGATAAGGAATTCATTATTGTTTCATCATACATGCATACGTTTATATTTTGAACTTATTTTACTTGACTATTTTTTATTTTTGCTTACGTTGGTGGCATATAAATACATATTTAGCTTTCAACTTGATTTAATTAAAGTAATTATCAGATATTTGTTGTTAATTTTTGTAATTTTTAAGCCGGCGGAACCAATACGAGAGACTGAAGTGTAATTAAAATTTGCAATAATAAGCATCAAATACTTATGTAATGATGTAATACACTTATACACTTGCATTATTATACATACAACTACACATACAAATACAGACCGCACGCTACACACCATGTCACAAAAGTATTGAAAATATTTCCCATAATTCATAAGATACATATATAACTACATACATTATAGCTACTACCAAAATGGTAAAATCAAATATACAAACGGCATTCATAAATACAAGATACAGAAAAATAGAAGAGCGATTAAAAGAACCTAAAGAACAAATCACTATTGAGGAACATTAGAAAAAAAAACGGAGCTAACCATCGAGGCAGTATTCAAATTTCACATATATTTATTAAAATTTTATGAAAGTTTAATTTCCAACAAGGAATAACCTTAGCCGTAGATACCCTTAATGTTAGGATAAGTCTTAATAATAGCTTCGATCGCTAACACTATACTTTCATATGAATGTATGTAGATATGTATGTATGTAATAATATAATAATAAAGTAAGACAATACATACCATTAATGGACACTATGACAAAATTGAAAATGAGACTATAAAGTCAAGCCATCAACATATTTTCTCAACCTAATGTGTTTTAATTACAATAAAATGTTAAAGATAAATTAATACATATACATACACACATACACATACATTTACATATACATATACATATACATATACATATACATATACATATACATATACATATACATATACGATTCTTATCGAGATACCATAAATACCCCGGGTAAAAAAAGAATGTAATTGTATAAGTCTAAATACCAAGAGCTTATTAGGGTTCAGTAAATTTATTACATATGCATTTAGTTATCATAAACATGCACTCAGCTACAGACGTAAATACAAACATCTAAATGGAATTGATAGACATGCTTCACGCAAGGCAACAAGAATAATAAAATTGATGCATAGATTAGCCACATAGCGTCAGTTGTTCGTCGGCCGGTATTGGCTACTGAATTTTTGTCGACAACTGCCAACATCAACCATACATCGGCATAAACTACAGCATCAAGATAAAAGAAATAACTACAACTATAACAACAACAAACAGCATCAACAGAACAAGGTCTCCTCCTCTCTACTACTATCTGCTATGTCTATGAACTACTTATATTCTACAACTACTACTATCTACAACACTTCTAACGAGAATTGAAACGTATGTAATATAAAATTTTGAACTCTTATACAAACCCAAAACCACCCTTTCAAAGTAAAATATGAACAGTATGTATATTAGTTTGTTGCGTTTATGCTACGCAAGTGTATTGTTTACTAAATGAATAAATTCAATTAATAAATGAAAGCGTATTGAAACCAAAATTTTTTGAATATTCCGTTCTTTATTGATACAAATATTTCAAATTAGTTTTGAAATACAATTGTTAAAACAATTGTTGCAATATAGGAATTATGTAGCATGAACACAACACTTATACATACATGTTGGTTTGCTATGTATGTAGTAAAGCCCTTATCCTTATCTTGCTGCCTTAATTATCTCTTTTGAGCATCGTGCGTAATACTTACATCCATTCCGGCCACATAGAGTATTGATTTATTCGCGGCACCACCAGTATAAGTTCACCTTTCATACCACAATCTACATCAAAATAGAAATCTATTTACATTAGGAAAATCCTGCCCGACAATTACAAAATTTTTACGGAATACTGGCAATACCATATGCGATCTTGAAATATATTACCACGTGGATACGCTACCTGTTTAAAAATATAAAACATAAACTTTAAGGCTCTATCACTATACAGCGATTTTATTATAAACTTAATCTAATCTCTTCAAACTCAATATGTCGATAAAGGTTAGATTAGCATATCGCCATTGTCAATGGTAATATAACTACAATGTACTTTATACGGGATACTAATTTAACCAATATACGTGCTCAAACATACTAACACATGTAGGATGTAGATAGATCAAACTCTATTTCATTTAAGAAAGTCAATCGGTAGTTAGATATAGCAACAGCTGAGTGACTGTATGTTTGTGTATGTTTGTGTTTGTGATGAGAGGGAGAAACTAAATGTTACTAAAACATTTTCCTTTCCTGGTAAAACTATAGTCACATTAGTTTTTAATCAATTATTTTGCTTGAATATTTATTTTTATTGTTATATATTGCTTCTCTTAAAAGCGGAGAATATACTTTATGCACATGTTAAAACCAGTCGGCACTTCCAGATATCGAAATATGCTCTCATGCCCTAATACACTGATTACACTCGCTTAGCAACTTGTATGTATAAATGTGTATACAGAATGATGGTGAATGCTATTATTGACTTTAATTATGTTTTTTTACCTAGTTTTACGTTTAATGAGTATGCACGTACTATTCTTCAAAACTCCGACTCTGACTGTGTACTACATACAAACATATGTACACACATGAACGGGTCATTCAAATAAACTGCTGGATATAATGAGTGATAATTGTACTAAATCAATCATTTTATATTTACTCAGTCATGAATAATATATACATAAAAATGTTTTTTTGATATTTATGATGGAAAGAAAAAAAAATGCAGGTTTCCTGTTTAATATATCAACAACAATTTTAAATGTATGTATATATATAGACGGACATGGCTATATGAACTCGGCTGTTGATGCTGATCTACAACATATACTTTATAGGGTCGGAGACGTCTCCTATGCGTTACACATTTCATGAGTGTAAAGAAAATTATCGCTTTCACGACTCGACGAACAACATTACTTTTTCACAAAATTAAACTATGTCCCCACTCTAATAAGTATGTATGTCATATAAATACATATACTTTATGTTATGTAATCACGCCTGTTTTTCAGTGGATGTATATATATAATTAGATTAGTCATGCATCGGAAACTTCTTCTCTTGTCTTCCCTTACTAAAACTATAAATATATTCTATTTTGTCAAATTGCTTTACTGCTTTGCTTTCTTAAAGTCAAAAAAATTTCCCCATTCTAATTATTATGATTTAATGCTTTTAATTCGATCCAGTGGTCCATTGCGATTAAAATCAATTAATAAAAAAATAACAAGTAAGAGGTTCTAGTCGGGAGCTCCCGACTAGGGGATACCCTGAACCCTCTCAAACGCATATATATATTCTATTTTAGAAGCTAAATGTCAAGTTTGGTGACTCTAGTGACTCTTATTATTTACCAAAATTGCCCAAAAAACAGGATATCGATATAGATTTTCATCGATTGCTTGGAAACGGAGTAAGTTATCGATTATCGGAAACAAACTCGATCTGCGCGGGAGCTAGGAGCATCTACATCTAAAATTTCAAGTCTCTAGCTCTTATAGGTTCTGAGATCCTTGCGTTCATACATACGGACGGACGGACGGACGGACAGACAGACAGACGGACATGGCTAGATCGACTCGGCTATTGATGCTGATCAAGAATATATATACTTTATGGGGTCGGAGATGCTTCCTTCTGCCTGTTACATACATTTGGATTTTGCACAAATACAATATACTCTTGTACCCATTTTTAATGGTATAGGGTATAAAAATAACAAAAAGAAAATATCGAAAGCCACGTGCCTTCGAAAGTGTCCGTTTCTTCACGTGGTGTCCGTTCCATCCTTTACTGGATGGAAATCTTTTCAATTATTTAAGAGATCTCTAAACTTGCATGCTATTTACGAGCAAGCTTTGTATGCCAATCCCGCCTACCCGAAAGGACTACTGATTGCATTGTAAGAAATATTTTTTTTTTATTTTTATTGGTTAATATTTGTATTTGATTTGTTTTGTTATGGCTACTTATTCTTAATTTGTGCATACGTGCAAATACTAAAAATACTCAATTATATGCTTACGTACATACATATTTATGCGTTGAGTATACTTGTACATACGTATGTATGAAAATATATACTAAAGGCGTATGTATGTGTGCATGTATGTGGCCTGCAAATAGTGAGTGTTATTATGCTAATATTTTTTATGCTTATTTTGTTGTTTATTATTATGTTTCCGTTTCTGTTCGTTTGTTGTCTAATTTCGTTTGTTTCAGTTGCGCGTGATTCGTGCATTCCGCTCGACCCTGGAAGACCTAAACGAACGGCGCTCAATGCACAGTTTGCATAGCTTGCGTAGCCCCCGGACGGGCATGCCAACAGGCAGTGGTGTTCACCCGCTCTACAATTTAAATCTGTTGAGCCCCAATTACAGCAGCAAACAGCATCAGCACCACCAACATCAGCAGCCGCCGCCGCATCAGCAGCAGCAGCAGCATGTTTCTAATGCAACTCTGCCCTCCGATATATCTTACATAGACGAAGATCCACAGCAGCAGCAGCAGCAGCATCGCATTTTGCAAAACGGAGTCAATTCCTCTGCATCCACAGCAAACCTTACACCCCCCTCACAGCAGCATTTATCATCACACTCATCTGTTCGATCTGCTGGCAGCGGCTTCGGTGACGTTGTCCTGCAGCAGTTAAACGAACATCAGCCAAAAAATGGACAGAACGAAACACGAATTTAAGACAGAGGCCACCTTGAAAGACAATATAAATACAGTCGACGCTGAGAGCACACTCTATTTTTAACATTTTACGCTCCTTAAGCTGTGAGCGCGAGAGTACCAATTTAATTTTTGTTGTGATTAACTAATCTAAGTGTTTATATTGTCTTTGCCTTCTTCAAAGTCTAAAATCAAAAGCTATATGCATAGATGTGTTATCTACGTGCAGATGTATGATGTATGTACATATAAAACTAACCAGACGGCTGGCCATGGAATCAATGAAATATATTATACATACACGCTCTGTCATATACCATATTGAGATTCACACACAAATGTATATGTATACATATATAAACAAAAATACATATGTTTATCAATGAACACCCTTGCGCGCGCTTTCCCGGGCATATTATCCATACATACACGTATTACATACATTTATATATACATATATATGAAGCGTGTTTGTCGTATTCCGATAATTATGTACTCAATAAGATACCTAATTAATTAAATATTAGCGCTTAGCAAATGTTATTTAATCGCATGATTTTGTATACTTTTAATCTTTTAATTTTTATATAAATTAATATTATTCTTGTGGAACTCGTATTATTAACTATATGAAAAAAAATCCAAACAAAATGTGCATCATTATTTGCTTGGTGCGTGTGTGTATGCGTATGAATGAGTTAAAGGATCAGACAACTGTAAGAACACAGTATTCTAGGGTGGATGTGGAATCCGAAGCTATGGCAAGTACTTACCAACGCAGTTCATAAAATACATACTAATTGAAATCTAAAGTTAGGCAACATGAATCGCCATATGCGTAATGCTCGGGTACGAAGCAAATATCTTTCGAATAATAGAATTAAAATAATTTAACAAACATTCAACATTAATCAACAATAGCATACATCGTAAAGGTAACTGTAACTGTGCTTGTTTTTAAACGACAGATACGCCTTGTGAAAGGCGTTTTTTCACAGTTTTACAGTTACCTTTATGTGTTTAAAAAAAATGAAGCGAAACTCAGATAAACTTTGGTAATTTTTGGGACTAAAGAATTATAAAGGACAAAACCATGTTTCATGTGAAGTGAGGTATCATATTTTAGCAGAGAACAGCTTATGTATATACGTACATACTTGTGTACATATATTCATTATGTCGTAATTCTTTATATGCGATGGACAGTGGACAGCAAAGAATCATGTACAATCATCGACACACACTTCAGCTTATTTTCAAAACATTCAAAAGGACAAATACGTACTTACGTAAGAGCTAGGATGGTACAATTTTTGATAACTTCAGTAAACATTTCAGCTTGCTAGCTCTGACGGTTAGGGCTGTGCGTTGATTACCAATCAGTCAGTCACACAAGAAACACAGTTTTATATATAGAGATAACATTATAATATTCGTATATTATTAAGTTTTAAGTCATGTATACTTAAAATATGAATTGGTTTATCTACGCATGCAGCATACATATAAGCATAATCTTCTATCAATAAATCATTCGGCGCACCATGTGTATAATTTAGTAATGAAGTTTGAGTATATCCTTTTATATTCTTTCGGTGAATATCACTTTTACATTTTCTACACAAATTTCTATTAATAACTTTCCGAGATTATATCATTGTTTACAGTCGTTATCACAAAGGCATGTATACTTCATATAATTTTAATGATAGTTATACATGACAGATGCTAATATATCAGTTACTGGGCCTTTATAATTTCAATCAGAAAACAAACGTAATAAGTACTACATTATAAATCCTTTTTGACACCGTACAACGCAATTCTTCAGACCCTAACAAATCACTTCTGTTTAAAGTTTCTGTGGTCCTGCAGACTCTACCGATTTCACAAATATAGTTAATCACTTATTTATAGATTAATGAAAAATGATGTGAGCAAGAATAATATCAGTGTTATCATTAATAAAAGAATAATCACGTGTCAGACAACTTTTTAAATTATCTTAGTAAATGAGCATAAATTGAAAATTTCGCCCATTCAAATTTTTACCGTAATTTTTTATCCAAGAGGGGAGGATTTCGCGAAATGAGGGAAACTCGTATCAGGTCATTTTAAAAAGATCTACAAAAATTATTTTGAAGCCGATCGGTTGGTAAATAAGAAAATATTCATACAACCGGTTTTAACTTAATTTACCAGAGTTGGAATGCACCAAAACCTCGTCAGACAAACATTAGTATGTGTATAGAGATTTTTGTGGATGCTATCTGCAAATGTATATAGGTCTTAGATCTGATTGACATGAAATGCATACATATATTTGGATGTAAACCAATTCAGTACATGCCCATAGAAACGCATAGGTTTATGACGCCCAACAATTTACCATACATGCACATTTACATACAAATTTACATTTACAAATACACAATATACATATTTACCTATGTACATATTTCACAATGGTGCATTTATTTTGAATTCGAACCTTTATTCATTATATATTTATGAGTTTTTAAGACAGTCAATCCCAGTTCACAAACGTACATATACATATATACGTCTGCCAATATATACCCAAATCCCAATCCTCTAAACCTCAAAGTTCATCCAAAAACAAAATTCACCAGAAAATTACAATCACAATGTACAGAAAGTATGCATAATCAACATTTTTACTTTATTCAAAAATAGGTCTGCGCACAGTATGTCCTGCATACTAACGTAATTCCTTTTAAAATCATTGTAGTTGTTGCTATATATATATATATATATATATATATATATATATATATATATATATATATATACATACATACATACATACTATATTTACTATGCTCTACTATCGTTCTTATTTAATTTATTTATAATACCTCCTTTCAAAATACTCACATGCATACATACGCCTTATACATATCTGCACAATATGTATGTATGGTAGTACATAATATATATGTATAATTTATATATATAAATTTATATATACATATATATTTATATATATAAATAAATAAAATCTCTTTATATATATATAAATTAAATCAATTAAATCCAGTAGTTTCTTTTTATCGCAGCCACACTAAACTGACTTCAACCTGTATTTCTCTTCCCACTTATTGTTTCCATTTTATTTTCTCTCTTCAATATTAAAGGTAATAGGCGGCGAGTTACAAGAACGCTTGATACCGGTTCCCTATAGCAAGAGCAACACTGATCAAGCTGTAAGCCTTTCTTCATTTTATCTAAATTTATGTACACAACGCCAAGACAATCTAGAAATTAAAACTCCGAATTCATTGAAAGAAGCGCGCGGTCAAAGCCGGGTTTGAAATAAGTCCGATCTTAAGATATATGATACCCAAGGAATGAAATCTGGAATTGAATATTCTATGCCTGTTTGAATAAGTATAGAAAATAATTTAATATTCAGTACTATCAAATCATCTCTCTGTTAAAATTAGTGATTCCTAACACTTTCTGGAAAAAGAAATTATCATATTGAATAAGGAGCAGTATTAAAGTAATTGGTGGGGTCTATACTGTATACCAAAATATAAATATATATGTGTTTTTATAATAGGGGAAAAAGGTTTCTTAATGCTATTATTTCAAACTGTCTATATAGTTGACATAAAGTGTAGAAGAGTTTCGGCATGCCGAAGGCTCACAAGTAGATTTATAAAGTTGTTGGAGTAGGCTTTATCAAGAATCGCTTTACATATTTAGAAATGAAAATAATTTTCATAAATTTGCTTACTACTTATATATAAATTATGCATTAAATTAAAAAAAAATGGCATGTCTGGATCAAATAAACTGATCTTATGGCGTAAGACAAAGAACCTACGCTTTGCATGCTTCTGTTCAGTTAAAAAAATAGAATTATTGCTTATTATTAACAAACATGATATATCTCGTATTGTTGGCGTAATCTTTAATGTATAGGTATAATATCATACTACGTCCGAGCCGAGATTAATTTTTAATTTTAAATTAAATATTACTCTTTGGGCGATGTCACATATTGAACTGAGACGTCACACATATTAAAAAAAATTGCTTGCTTGTGTAATATAATTTGATTTTTTTCGGTTCGGATTTTAGATTCCTTCTCACTATTTTCAACGAAAACTGCATCCTTTTTTTTTTTTTTAATTTTTGTTTATATTTTGCATGCTCTTGCATTTAGCTATATCGATTCATTCTCTTGCCTTGTCCGTCTGTATTTCGATTTTGTATACAGGGCCTGTTCTTGATTTCGATCCGGTTGAACACAATTCCATTTAGTTCCGAAAAGTTTGATTAGAATCTAAATCTAGAACAGGTGCTTACCTTTGTACTTTGTGTACACATGCATATATATGATGATGTTCATTTGACTGCAATCGTTGTATATACATACATATATGAAGATTTGCCTGTGAAAACTAAAGAAACTATCAGTAAATCTCGGTAAATTTAACCTACATCAGCCGTTGTCTGCTTTTGATAGTTTCCCTGTTTTTATACACACACCGCACACACATTCATCGCTGTGCTTATGTTCTATTATTTTTACCTTTGTTTTTTGTCCTTAATATATGTATATACAAACATGCGCATATGTATATGTGTTTGCATTTGATATTTTCAGTTAGACTGATAAAAAAAATTGTAATTTTTCTTATACTGTTGTTTCTGTCTATCTTGTCACTGTTCTCGGTGTTGTTTTCTTTCTACTTGACTTGCGCTTAGATTCGTGTGGTGAACGCCTTCCGGCAAGGTCTTGATGCCCGTTACGGGGAGCACACCAATACTTCGCTGGCCGAGGTGCTGCGTAAGCAGACTTCGCTGAGCAAACGCCTTTCGGAGACATCTTCCATTGATTACGCCGATAATATACCCGATGAGCTGACTATTCCCGAAATAGATGTTGAGCGGTTATCATCCCACAGTCACACTGAAACTGCTGTTTAAGGCCAAATACAGTCTTCACACATAATCATCCACATCCCCACTTACACCTACCTATAGATACTTGTGAACTTACATATATATAAATACACAATACACAATAAAACCAAAAACAATAGAAATTCTTACAACTAAAACAGAAAAAGTACAACTAGTGCACACAATATTGTATGTTCCCAAATAGATTTTTCAAGCTTATATTATGGAGGAGTCTTGCTTAACACGGCCAAACCAAAAGCAAGTTTCAAAACTATTCTTCGTAAAATATATGTGGTTGTATTGCATATTAGTTTCATGCGGATATTTGTAGGTTTTTTTTGGGGCTGTAGGACACCTGCCAAAAGACTTCAAATTATTTGGAGAAATGATACAATATACTAGCCGTACTTATTCATTCATACCTACTTACAATAAAGAGAAAATAAATACACATAAATATACACATACATGTGTAAGGAACAAAACTAAATTCGAGTGGCCTAAAGATACTAAAAGATGAAATAACTATTAAATAAACACATGCGTAACTTCGCCATTACTCTCCATATTCACCCGACCGATACACAGGACACAGAGACGGTTAAAAACTAAGTGCGTTAAAGCCAAGTCGCATATACTTAAGTCATTATTATATTATTATTACATACATATACATATAACAAATAAATAAATGATCAAAAACGAAATTGTTGAATGTAATCATTTCACGATGAATTGGACCCCAAAATATAGATAAAAGAAATGCAGCTAACACAAATATTTCAACAACAGTATGTACTTACAAATAGCCCTATATCTTATTTACAAATTGCGAATGAGTGACGGGAATCATATTGCTGCTGCAATTGAGAAACTTAATTCTTTCGCTAATGCTGATGCCCAAATGTGATGACCAGCGGCAGTAAGGCACCGCATATCATGATAATAAGCTCGCTGTACCGCAGGCCTTGTACATTATATGATTGAGTCGATCCATTAGCAGATGAGTCATTGGCAGCAACCTCTCGAGATTCCTCTATAACATGGTAGTCATATTGGCCGGGTCCGCCTTTTCGGTTGGGATGTCCACTGTGCCCGCCCTGAGTTAATTCAGGCAATACGTGAACTGTTGCAACGTACAAAAAGGTTCCGGCAGAAAATAACATGGCAATTCCAGTAGCATTTACCGAATTAAGCGTCTCCTTTTGTTCTTGCCCAATGCCAAAGTAAGTGAGGAGCGTCAACAATGGTGCGGACAGAGAGAATATACCAAGGTGCTTCCGGATCTGTTGTCGTTCAACTTTTTCATGCAGCAAAAAACTGACTAAGCCAAACGCAGCCGGAGCCTTGTGCAGCATAATAGCTAGAAATACAATTATTTCTACATCCTGGTGACTAGTTGTTGCTGCTGCACCTAAAGCAACTCCATCAGCTAAACGGTTGAGAAGTAAGTGTTTAATTAGATGAAACAATAAACGAAAAATACCCACCTGCAGCATGCACCACTAGTCCGAGGGTAGCCGTAATATTCTTGTCATTATCATTTCCTTTGTTGGTTTTTCGTTGTGAAACTTGGTCCACAAGCATCATGAAAACAAACCCCAGCACAAGTGAAAGTCCTATTGTACGCGAGTAATCATGTGGCTTGATCAAGCCGGCTGACAATTGGGATGTATTTGCATCTGTTTGAGTTTGCTGGGTGTCCATATATAAGGAACGTATACCCTCCGGTATAATAACTGTGAGGGCTGTGCCCACCAACAAGCCAGCGCCAAGTACCGTGACAAATTTTAATTTTTCCTTAGTTTAAGAAAATCAAGAAGTTTATGTAGTACATGTATTCAGTAAGTTATATTATGCACACCTCACTCAATTTCATAACCAAGGGTATACTTCCAGATAGGTAGGATCCAACTAACATCACAATTACCAACAATATAAGAATAATCGTCTCCTCAGTCATGTTCCGTTTGTTTTTATATGCTTGCCAACTCAACTATTTGCTTTTTTTTAGAATTGGTATTCCTAAAATTGGTATTTAATAAACGATTTATTAGTACCTTTTAGCTATCAGCATGCGGTCATACTGGTTCAAAAATTACTAATATTTGCGATAATGAAAATGACGAAGTATATACAATGTACAAAATAACAGTATACTAAGCTGCTTAAACATTCAACATACTATATTAAAAAGGAATGTGATAAGCTAATACTGGCAATAGATGACTTTTCACCACTTCAAATCACTATACCATCACTATAGTGAATACTCAAGTTGTTGGGTACATTAAAAATGTTATCGATGTTTTACAGCTTTTAGGCATTAAAAACATAAGCAGAGTAAGAAGACGATGTTAAAACGCAATATTGCTTGAATAATTAATAATGAGATAAAAGCAGTGCTTTTACAAATATGAGCATACTCAAAAATATATAAACAAGCGTAAATATATCCTAGTTAAGTATGTATGTGCATGTGCATGTTTATATTTATTTACACTCTGAGTTGCAATTGCTTTCCATTCGTTAAAAGAAGAAACTTTGCAAATAGCTAAGTCTGTGACGTATATACTATGTAGATGTTCCATATAATTGCATTAACCCAAAACCCTACGTGCTCACGTATGTTCTCGCATAAGTTGGTGTGTTGTGTGTATACAAATATGTAAATACTACAATCCCTGGACATTGTTTCAAGATTTGATTAAAGCAGAAGATGCGGTATAAAATAATAAGATCAAACAAATCACAAATGATTAAAGGTTTCCTATAGCTGTATTGTACGTTTTCAAACCAACGTTGGTTTTGTCTTTTACTTTCCTGTAGGGTATACAATGGGTAATTGCCTGAAAATCAACAGTCCCGATGACATTTCACTTTTGCGAGGCAGCGAAAGTATTAGCGGACAGGACAGCGGACCGATGCCAATTTACCAGGTAAGTTAGGTAAAAATATAAATAGTTTTCGAAATAATCATGGATTTTGTATTCTATTATACAGCATGAACCTTTGCCGCAAATGTTTTATCCAGCGTCCTCTGCCAGTCATAGCGCAGCTGCTGCCACAAACATGTCGGAGGAAGATCAGATTAAAATAGCAAAGCGCATTGGACTCGTCCAGCACTTGCCAATTGGAACTTATGACGGCAACTTGAAAAAAGCCCGCGAGTGTGTCATTTGCATGGTTGAATTTTGCGTGGATGAGGCTGTGCGTTATCTGCCTTGCATGCACATCTACCACGTGCACTGTATCGACGACTGGTTGATGCGAAGTCTAACCTGTCCAAGCTGCTTGGAGCCCGTCGACGCTGCTCTATTAACCAGCTATGAAACAACATAGCGCACTGTAACAACTCGCCTTGCGTAAGCGCTTTTAAAATTAATAATCAAAAGGAAACTAATCGGGTCAGTGTGAAAGCTTGACCAGTGCTTCCCGGGGGACTATTTTATTATTATAAGCGGTTAAGCATTACCTTTTTAGTTGTTCAACTAATAATTAATATCAATAAAAAAGTCGGTGTACATAAATACATAGATCAAAATCAATAACAAATGAATACTTATATAAAATATAAACGTAATTTTTACATAATTATATTACATGTGTAGCGTATTGTTAATAATTAAAGTGACTAATGCAGTCTTGAAGACTTGTAATTTAATTCCTGCTTTTCCACAAGCAATTATTCACTATATTGACTTCTCGTTTATAAACTCACCAGGTTTTCTTCTATATGGTCCTGACTGACTGATCAACAACTAAAGAAAAATCCAAGCCGTAAGAGCTAGGAAGCTGAAGCACGAAAAATGCCACTCGCACTCGCGGAGCGTACATACATGCTTATGTACATATTTTCATTAATACATATGTACATACATGCCTATGAACATACATACATATATACGTATGTAAATACATATGTACATCATACATACGTACATAAATACATATGTACACCATACATACGTACGTAAAAACATATGTACATACATACATATGTACCTACATAAATAAAATAAATACATATGTACATACCTACATATGTACCTACGTACATACACACAAATATGTACATACAAACATACACACATATGTACATACATACATAAACACATATGTACATACATACATACACACATATGTAGACACATACATACATAAGTACATACATACGCACGTAAATACATATGTACATATATACATGTGTAAATGCATACATCTGTACATACAAATAGACTTACATATGTACACTCGTATATATACATGTACTTATGTACATATAAATGTACATGTACATATACACAGAGAAATTTAACAGAGATATGTTGCGCTTTCTTAACTAGTCTGAGGTAAGCGTGCTCTCGCAAATCGACAAATGACAATATTTCAGTAGGAGGTACATATTCTTTTTGATAAATTGAAAATGTACGTGAAAATGCGCACTGCGTTTGTGACCTACCTAGCCATAAGGGATGCGCGACAGAGCGGCGCAGACGCGATTGACAAAGGAAGCTACGAAACAAGACACCAGTATTGAGTAACAGGCTGTGAAAAGCACGACGAGGTCCTTTTCCACTATTGTTTTCTTGTTTTTAAAACCTGTTACCAAATTTACGTGAATCAAGCGTTTAATATAAAAAATAATTTGTATACTTTCAAGATGGACGGGGCGTTGAAAATCCTGCGCTTAACATCCAAAGGTGTTGTTATTTTGGCAATTTCATTAATAGCGTTCCAACAAGTGGCTGGCAGTGAAGTTCCCAGAGGCCCTAGGAAAAACAACAGTGAACTTCTGTATCCTAAACATAAGGAATTTGCTATCAGCCGGAATACATTTCTCGGTTGGTATTTATAAAGGAAATGTACATACACAAAAACGAATCTCTTCATTTTCACTCTGCTCACAGAAAGAGTTCCTCCACTGTAGGAGCACCGATAATTTCGGTATTTTAAATCTAAATAATTGATTAAATTATTGATATTGTACAAGTATTTAACCCGGTCGCTATGAACTAAGGAACTCTTTAAAACATTGATAATTTTCTATATATAAAACTGTTTGTCCTCACTGGCTGACTGATTGGTGACCAACAGCAAGCCCAAGAGGAGCTTGGAAGCCAAAATTTTTACTATAGTAACTTCATGTGATGGAGGTGCACGCTAATTACCCAAACCCCCTCATAATGTAGCGCATCATACAAGGTAAATGAAGTAAAAATTTCAGCTTACGGCTTAGGTTTTCACTTTAGTCACCAATTAGTCAGGCATGTCAAACAGTTTTATAAATAGAGATGAGCCAACATAAATTTAATTTAAAATTTAATGTCTCCAGGAAATGATATACGTCTGATGTACCCTAGCCGTTATGAAAAGAGATATACCCCTACATATTCTGGTCCAAGCATTAGGTAAGTCATCTGCATCTGATCGGAATTTGACAATAACGTGTTGTACACACTTCTAGCCGTCCTTTGTCATTAAATAGAAATGTGTACCGAAAAGGATGTATCCGTCGTAATGGTGCTTGTGATAATCGCCCGAGTGACTGTTGTTTCAGTAGTTCGTGTAGGTGCAATTTGTGGGGGAGCAACTGCCGCTGTCAACGCATGGGACTCTTTCAAAAGTTGGGATAGATCAACCTGCCGTAATCAAACAAGTTTAAATATGAGCAAATTTATAGATAAATCCATATATACACCATACATAAAGTAAATATGATATGTATAATTTTAACCAATTATATTTCTTCATACATTTAGCCATATTTACCAACTGCTTGTCATTTAAATAAACAAAACCGCATTACAACTGCATATATTTTATAGGCGACATTCGAATTGGCTATTACTAAAAAATAAAAAGATATATTTTCAAATTGTCACAAATATAGTGCTTAGCTTCGAATGTCACCTTAATCTGTATTTAAATACAGTTTCAGCCCAAAACTTGTTTATGTATGGTTGTTCAGTAACCTATTCTTTTATTGTAACGACTTTGTATATGGGTATACATATGTGTAACATGTCAGCAATCGGCTGATTTAATCATCAAAACTAGATGAAAGCAAGAAATTTGCAGCCAGTTCCTCATCTTTTTCACATGCAAAGTAAGCTTGCAAAACAAGGGCTTCTGGAAATCCTAGTGCCTTTAGCTGTAAAATATTAAATAAAAAAATAAGTCAGTTAAAGTTTCGCGGATTCGCGGGGTAAAATGAGATAGTCATACAAAGATATTAATAAATTTCGAATGACCTTTACATCTATAAGCGACAGGTACTTCCAATTTTTTTTTTTTTTTTCAAACCACTGTTTAGGCCTGACAAAATCTTTGTCGTGAAATGTGTAATGCATAGAAGGAGACATCTCCGACCCCATAAAGTATATATATTCTTGACCAGCATCAACAGCCGAGTCGATATAGCCATGTCCGACTGTTTCTATGCGAACTAGTCTCTCAGTTTTAAAGCTATCTTAATAAAATTTTGCAGAAGTCCCTCTTTCTGTTGCACGCAGCACATATGTGAAAACCAGCTGAATCGGACCACTATATCATATAGTTAACACAGGAACGATCGGTCGAAAACTGTGTTTTTTTATGAAAAAACATTTTGTTCATCAAGATATCTTGACCAAACTCGGAATTTATTAGTTTTACTTTACTCCTCAAATATATGCAAAATCCTATTAAGATCGGACCACTATATCATATAGCTGCCATAGGAACGATCGGTCGAAAATTAAGTTTTTGTATGAAAAAACATTTTGTTTATCAAGATATCTTGACTAAACTCGGCATTTATTAGTTTTACTTTACTCCTCAAATATATGCAAAATCCTATTAAGATCGGACCACTATATCATATAGCTGCCATAGGAACGATCGGTCAAAAATTAAGTTTTATGTATGAAAAAATATTTTGTTTTTTAAGATATCTTGACCAAACTCGGCATTTATAAATTTTACTATGCTCCTCATATATGTATATGCAAAATCCCATTAAGATCGGACCACTATATCATATAGCTACCATAGGAACGATCGGTCGAAAATTAAGTTTTTGTGTAAAAAAAAACATTTTGTTTATCAAGATATCTTGCCCCAACTCGGCATTAACTATTTTCCCTGTGCTTCTTAGATACGGGCAAAGCACTAAAAGCATTATGAAAGGTTGGGTCTGCAAGGGTATTAGATCTTCGGCGTGCCGAAGATAGCCTTTCTTTCTCGTTTAAACTAGACATACATATTTCTAATCACTTTTAACATATTGATTTTTTAGACCCTTGCAGAGGGTATTATAACTTTGTTATACCCTGAACCCATTAAAAATGGTTATAAGGGTATAGGCAGTCGATTTAGCCATGTCCGTCTGTCTGTCCGTCCGTCTGTCCGTATGTATGAGCCAAAGGATCTCAGAACCTATAAGAGCTAGAGACTTCAAATTTTAGATGTAGATGCTCCTAGTTCCCGCGCAGATCGAGTTTGCTTCCGATAATCGATAACTTACTCCGTTTCCAAGCAATCGATAAAAATCGATATCGACATCCTGTTTTTTTTTTTTTTTTTAGCAAATTGGGTAAATAATAAGAGCTAGAGCCACCAAACATGATATGTTGCTTCTAGAATATTATAGATATTTTAAGTATCTTTCTTTTCATACCTATCGCCACTTCCCCGCTACCACCACAGAGCTATAAATCAAGTTAATAACCCAACTTTTATTGCCAACCAATTTAAACCACAATTTAAATGCAATTGATTTTTTCAGAATACACAAATATTCTATGGTACAATAAGATATACTGTAGAAAATTTCATAAATATCGGTTAAGAAAAACCAAAGTTATATGCAACTGCGCAATTGAAAGGGGCAGCAGCTTTAAGAATTTCTGTATACATGTACACACACACATTCATGCGCGTCTGCTTCGCATTCTAATAGCATGGTAATTGCATCTTTTTTTTGTAATGTTATTTTAGTTTCTTTTTATCATAAGTACTTAATTGTTGGTGTGGCTGCTGATTAGAGGGATAGCAAGTGGTGCGGTCTGTCAAGAGTTCGAGACCTACCGGGGAAAGTATTATTATTTTTTTTTTTTTGCTGGTGTGGCTGTTGAGTAGAGTCGACAGTAAGTAATGAGGTCAGTTGCAAATTCGAGCCCTGCCAAGGGAACTTTTTTTTATTAATTTATTTGGTGTTGGAATAAGAGGGTTCAGGGTATCTCCTAGTCGGGAGCTCCCGACTAGAACCTCTTACTTGTGAAATGTGTAACGCATAGAAGGAGACATATTCGACCCCATAAAGAATATATATTCTTGATCAGCATCAACAGCCGAGTCGATAGAGCCATGTCCGTCTGTGTGTTTCTATGCGAACTAGTCCCTTAATATAAAAGCTATCTTTATGAAATTTTGCAGAAGTCCCTCTTTCTGTTGCACGCAGCACATACATATGTGAAAACCAGGTGCATCGGACCACTATATCATATAGCTGCCATAGTAACGATCGGTCGAAAATTAAGTTGTTGTATGAAAAAACATTTTGTTTTTAAGATATCTTGACCAAACTCGGCATTTATAAGTTTTACTATACTCCTCATATATGGGCAAATTCCTATTAAGATCGGACCACTATATCATATAGCTGCCAAAAGAACGATCAGTCGAAAATTAAGCTGTTGAATGAAAAAACATTTTGTTTTTCAAGATATCTTAACCAAACTCGACATTTATTAAGTTTTACTATGCTCCTCATATATATGCAAAATCCTATTAAAATCGGACCACTATATCATAGAGTTGTGACGTTTAGTTCAGACCAAGTTCGATTGAACGGGTCATTAAAATGAACCACTGAACTTATTCAGTGATTAGTGAACTAACTTGGTCATTTAGTTCACTCGTTCAGCTATTCAGTCGGGCATGAACGATGTATTCTGTACTCGTTCAGTCGGTCATGAACGATACATTCTTGATACTCGTTCAGTCGGTCATAACCGTTGTATGCAACTCAGCAGTTCCTGAACGAGACATTCTTTTCAGATGTTCAGTTCTTAATAAACATAAAAGATAGCGAGATTTTAATTTCACTTTTGATTTGACTGCATAACTGAACTAAGCGAATAGTTCATGACCGACTTAATAGCTGAGCAGAATTCATCGTTCATGACCGACTGAATAGCTGAACGAGTGAACTAAATTACCGATTTAGTTCACGGCCAGAAAATGAACGAGTGAACTTATTCAGCAAATTGAATTAGAAATCCCCACTCTACTATATCATATAGCTGCCATAGGAACGATCGGTCGAAAAGTAAGTTGTTGTAAGAAAAAAATTTTGTTTATAAGATATCTTGACTAAACTCGGCATTTATAAGTTTTACTATACTCCTCATATATAGGCAAAATCCTATTAAGATCGGACCACTATATCATATAGCTGCCATAGGAACGAGCGGTCGAAAATTAAGTTTTTGTATGAAAAAACATTTTGTTTTTCAATATATCTTGACCAAACTCGGCATTTATTAGTTTTACGATACTCCTCATATATATTCAGAATCATATTTAGATCGGACCACTATATCATATAGCTGTCATAGGAACGATCGGTCGAAAATTAAGTTGTATGGAATACTTTTTTGTCATTCAAGATATTTAGATTAAATACGGCATTTAACGATTTCAGTATGCTCCCTTTATTTTTGCTAAATCTTATTTACATCGGACTACTATATCATATATCTGCCATAGGAACGATCGTTCGAAAACTAGGTTTTTGATGAAAAACCTTTTTGTTTATCAAGATTTCTTGACCACTCGGCATTAACTATTTTCCCTGTGCTTCTTAGATACGGGCAAAGCACTAAAAGCATTATGAGAAGGTTGGGTCTGCAAGGCTATTAGATCTTCGGCGTGCCGAAGATAGTCTTTCTTTCTCGTTTAAATTAACTATTTAATTTTTTTAATATGCATACAACAAAACAGTTAATCACTGTTTGGAACAGTTGTACGTACCCGCTCTATAGCATCTTGATCTTGTGGTGTTAAACGAATAGTGGCTAGGCTTTCTGTTGGTACATTTCTTTCCGCCAAAACAGTACCATCTCTTTCTGAGGCAACCGCTATAGGCTGGTTTTCTGATCCAGCGGCAGAACGTTGGCCCTCCGTAGTTGCCACTTGGATTGCCGATGATGTCACATTTTCTGTTCGACTTGAATTCGACTGTGTTCGACCAAGTCGTTGTGCGTTGGCGGCCACCTCATCTTCGAGGGGCTGGTTTAACATATTCAGAAACGCATCTTGGTTTTCAGAAATAAGTTGCAAAAGAGCTGGGTTTGTTTGGCCAATCTAAGTTAATAAATTAAAAATACGATTAAGAATGGATTAATGACGGTATTTTACATACCTGTTGTAGAACAGCATGTAAAAGATGCGGATTTTGGTATATCAGAGAGCGCATCTGTAGGAATTGTGGCTGACTGCGTAAAAATTCAAATGGGTCTAAAATAGGAAAGGTTAATCGAACGATATGATGTACATATAATAAAATGTATTTACCAGCGGCTGATTCAGCCGGTAAATCGCGTGCAGCACCCTGATGTATATTAGATGCTCTTGAAGATTCCTCGTCATCTCCTGGAGTAAACAAAATCTCCTCCTGGGGAATTCCGTTAATCAAATATTCTACAGCGCGCTCAGGATTATTAAAGCTGGCTGCCATTGCGCGTTCCACTTGCTCCCGGGGATAACCCATTTCAACCATTGAGGCAACAGTACGATTAAATTCCTCACCCATCAGTAAATTTGACTCGGCACGTGTTTGCAATGACGCATTGGCCAGCTCACCAACTAAATCAATGCTTGAATAGTCAGTGGTAGAGCCTGTGGCTGAAGCTGGTGCTGGAGATCCAGCTCCGGTACTGTCTACTTCTCCCCCAGCTTCACTAGTTATTTTGTTAGTCTTTTCTCCCT